TACATTTATTGGTCCATATATCTAAAGTAGTAGGCCTATATCAAGAATTGTTTAGTCTCTTTTACAATTGGAAAGGCATTGTTTCATTTTTGATGGATAATCATTTTTCGCCGATCATATTCCAGTTAAAATTGTTTTTGATTGTTGTGTTGAACTTTTTAGTTTTAAGGATAATACATTGCAGTATAACTGCCTGGAGGAAAGCAAGTAAACCACAATTTTCACAATTTAAACATAATTTACAAACAAATCTGGAAAATATTTCTTTTAACAATTATTTTTTTACATTGCACAAAATTATGAATTGTAAAGAGCATGTGAAACGATTTAACCGATTTGTACAATGATGTTATAACCCATGATGTATTAGTGTTTCTGAATGTATTCAAAAATCTAACTTCACAGTCGGATAGTAGGAACGATAAAAATAAGGTTTAGCATTTACGTTAGAAAGCTTTGATGTGGCATCAACATTGGAAGGCATGTTTCCAACTGCATCATGGTATTAATGCAGATATGCACCGTATACCTGGAACCAGTTTTAATAGGTCTTCAGGGATAATGATCAGAATCAAATGGAGCAAATGGCTGAAGCGATTGCTGGGAAAAATACTAGAGATCTCTGGAGAGAACTTATTAGGATTAAAGGGCGAAATAATACCCCGAATTGTGTTGATGGCTAGATATAGTCCATCATTTGTAATTTGTGCATTTTGTTCGTTTGAAGCAACAAAAGTGTTCAAAATCTAATGAAGGATACCGAACAACTAACCTGATGAAGTTTCAGCTGTATATTCCGAGAAAAACTGCATTCATGGATCTCAATTTCAAATCAAAAGTTACTGAATCATGTTTTGAATTGTTTTGAATTGCAGCTATATACGCGACGACGCGCACTGATCCGACGAATTATAGCAACAGCGCGCGCGCCTGCGTCGTGCCAATGCTTGCGCACGCTTCGCCGAATAACAAAACGAACTACTAATTTAAGGTGCGTCTAAGACGCACCGTTGGAAAGGCCTTCTTTCGTTGATTACTTCAAAATGACAGCTTCCCAGAAAGAATAATTTCACAGGGAGTTTACTTCCCTTACTATCTTTCAACCAAGTATGTTTTTCAACAATAATTACGCCAGTTACTTTTCGGATGGCTGCAAATGATGGACTATAGCTTTAAAGATATAGTCCATCATTTGTAATTTGTGCATTTTGTTCGTTTGAAGCAACAAAAGTGTTCAAAATCTAATGAAGGATACTGAACAACTAACCTGATGAAGTTTCGGCTCAGCTTCAGCTGTATATTCCGAGAAAAACAGCATTCTAGGATCTCAATTTCAAATCAAAAGTTGCTGAATCATATTTTGAATTGTTTTGAATTGCAGCTATACGCGATGTCGCGCACTGATCCGACGAATTATAGCAACCTTGCGCGCCTGTGCGTCGTGCCAATGATTGCGCGCTCTGCGCCGAATAACAAAACGAACTACTAATTTAAATTTTCCTACGGTACGTCTTAAGACGTCTTAAGACGCACCGTTGGAAAGGCCTTCTTTCGTTGATTACTTCTAAATGATAGCTTGCCAGAAAGATTAATTTCACAGGGAGTTTAGCCCCCTTACCATCTTTCAACCAAGTATGTTTTTCAACAATAATACACCAGTACTTTTTCGGATGGCTGCAAATGATGGACTATAGCTTTAATAGGGATTCCGATATTGCAGCGGTTTTCATAGAAAATATGAAAATATATATAACTGTGTTCCATCTGAAGAATATGTCAGTCTCTTTTACTTACTTTGTTTCCTTTAGGATACCTTTAACGGTATATTGTTTTATTAACCTGTATTCAATAACACCCAAACACTTGAATAACTTGAACATTTAGTATGATTTTCAACAAATACTTTATCGTATTTTTTGGGACAAATGTGGCAATAAACAGTTTGAGATCGGAAATTTGGCCTAAAAATCCAGGTATAGGTGGGTTACCGTAAACACACAGTTTTGTTTTAGTCCTCAATTTACTCCCACTCTTCGTCATCATCATCAAAGTCGTCATCATCAGAATCGTCATCACTGTCTTCTGCATGGGAGATGGGTGGTGAAGAAAAGAAGAAGTAAATGCATACATTTCAGAAGAGGCACAATAAGTGAACCCCTACAAGCATAGAAAGAGACTGATCCGTTAAGCCCCAGTGTTTTGACCAATCACAGCCATGATTAATGTCAGGACATAATGTGCAGAAAGGAACGACGATGAGTTTTTTTTACAGCACAAACCTCCAAATAGCTTTATAATAAGGCCACGAATCGTGGCCCCGAGGCCAAATTAGTTGCGGTGCACAATATTTTGAGAAATGAAAATATATATAAAGTTTCTATTGAAAACGTTAACAAAGAAATTCAAAGTTTTTATAAAGTTATTGCAGTTTTGCAAAGTGTTTGTGTTTTATACAAAGAAAAACAAAATATCCAAAGACGTTGATTCCATTGTGAGAGAAACAGACTGCCTCACAGGCAGTGGCGTCACCAGACCTTTCAGTCTGGGGGGCACGGGGGGGGGGCACCAGCATTTGATGGGGGGAGGGGGCACTTAGGTGGATACGGATCGCCGTCCTGGGGGAGGGGTCTAAGTGCCCCCTCCCCTTTGGACAATGTTCGCATACGGAGGATGGGCTAGATGCGAAATGGTGCCACATTTGATGCTAAATTCGATCTGAAGATATCTCAAGAAATTGCTATTTTGAGGTAATGATTTTAACAACGCGCAGAATTTTGCAGAGGATAGGGGGGCACCAGCATTTGATGGGGGGCACTCGGGGGGGGGGGGGGGGCGCTAGGTTTTCCAGGGGGGGGGGGCACGTGCCCCCCCTGCCCCCCCCCCCCTTGGCGACGCCACTGCTCACAGGAGTGTAAGGATTATATTTAACGTGTATAGAGGTTTGTATATTATAAGCCTCACACTCGTAAGTCGTAACAAGTGTTATAGTTCATTGTACACACGAAGTGGACCTCACAGGTGTGAGAGCGATCAGATCCTGTATATAATTTTATAAACGTTGCTACAAGAGTCTAGGTATAATACGTGGGGTAAACAAAAACTCAGCTCTGTCAAAATGTTTCATTTTTTTATAGAAATTTATGCAGAAAATACGGACAGAGCCAGCTTTGTAAGTGGGTATTTGAACAGTATTCTGTAATGTTAATAATCGTCGGATTGGAGTAGCGACCCCATTGAAAGTATGGTACGAGCCCCCCCCCCCCCCCCCCCCCCCCCCCACCCCCCCCACCTATTGATATTCGGAAGCCAAGTGTCCTCAGAAAAACCCTACCTACATTTGAAAAAAAAATTTGCTGATGAAACCCCCATCCCCTGCAAAAAAATTCCTAGATCCGCCTCTTAGAGTAACCTACGTAATGACATGCCCTGACGCACACGGCATGAAGGAGGGAACAGTGACATGGCTATCACATTTTCCAAAACTCCGACGGTAAATTTGCGACAGCACTTTTTCCTTCTGTCATTTAGTGAATCAACATTTCAGATGTCATGTGCATTGTTGTAAGACGTGTACTTATTTCCCAATATTGTTTTTGTAAAGCTATAAACCTATACAGTCTACAGCATTCCATAAACGTACCTTGCAACACGCCAGACAATCAGACGATTTCCGTGGACAAGGGGGGTTGCGGTTTAAACCGTCCTGAAAATTGCGTGTGATGATGAGCTGACGACCAGTTTAAGATCCAACCAGTGCCAATCTCGGCACGAAGGAGGAGGGGGTACAATGATTAATGTCGTTTCACATTCGATGTATATAAAAATGTCGCTTCACTATGATGTTTGCATCCTCCTAGCCTTGATGTTGAGTCTTCTACATACTCCCTCTGAAAATATCCTCCTAGCCTTGATGGTTAGTCTCCTCCATATCCCTTGTAAAAAATCCTCCTATAGCCATGATGGTTTCTCCTCAATTACCGGTAAAAGAATATTCTCTCAACGATGATGGTTAGTCTTCCCCGCATTAAATTGATTGCGGAAACATGAAAGCTTTGTATTCCTATTATATCGACTTGACACCATCCCAAAATTGCGACAGCCATCGCGACAGGCTCAAGCTCATCTTTACCTTAACTAGGCTAAAGATCCTTAATTCTCCTTTTCGTTTAATTCGTTATTAAGGCTGTTTAATAATTCAAGTATCCATGAGTTCGATGATTAAGCGATAAATAGTAAAATTATACAAATACCAAATGGGTGCGAAGAAAAACATTCTCGTTCATTGTTGTTGATTCTTTTGTTGTTACCTCCGTGTCTTTAAACTTTTGTATCCCCCTTTTGCTGAGCTTCGCAATGGTTGGTCGTCAACTCATTAACAGGCACTAATTTCTGAACGGTTTAAATTAAACCCCCTTTGTCCACGGAAATCGTCTGATCGTCTGACGTATCGCAATGTACGTTTAGGGAATGCTGTAGACTCTAGGATTAGAGCTTTAAGAACACTACCCATATAAACATATTTTTCAAGGTTTTTAACATGGAACAATTTCTCAATGATTGCAGGATTGAGGATTCTGAACAATGTCCCCGGAATCTTCTCGCAATGAAGATATCAGTATTGGTGAGTCGAGCTGTTGGCAACGAAAATTTTCCCGGAACATCTCTGGGACAAAAAGCAGAGCTGCTTCCATGCAGACAAAGTATGGAGGTTCAAAAGTACTCTCCCTAAAAGCAGAAAGGAAGAAAAATTGATCTGTACGACATGTTCAGTCGGCTTTTCTAGTAGTTGTAAAGCGAAAAAGCACTCGCCCACTTTTGAAGCGCTATGGGTAAAAAAAAATATTCTTTTCTGGTAGCAGAAAAGCAGAAAGGTAGAAAAATCCATTTAGCAAAACGTTCAATCTGTATTTCTGGTTGCAGTAAAGCAGTTCTCCATTTTTGAACCTCCGTAGGCTAGACAAAGATAATGATTCTGCCCCAAATTTGTCTCTGATATGAACCGAGAAGGGCCCACCGTGACAACATGCATTACCAGAGTGGATGACACAGTTTCTGATCCGTAGAGCATTGAGCAGTGAAGCCCCTAGGTCATCCTGAGAAAAGCTGGGGGCCACTTCTGCCTCCCGGTCGGACATATCCACCTACAACAAGCACAAGCATGTCGATGATTGATATGTTACCATCACGAGAGTGCTAAATATAGGCCTACACTACATTATATAGCATTGTATATAAAAGCTGCTTATTGTGCCAACTGCCGATTAAAGCATGTTGTACAGTCCTAAATATGCAGCAAATAAACACTGGAGAACTAAATGTACTAATAATATTGAAAGACAGCTTAATAAACGGAGCGTTATAGAAGCTCTTTCAGCAACAGTGAGTGTAAGCCTAATGATTGACGATGTATGTGAACAATATAATTGTTTAATCATTTAACCAACCATGATAACACAGATTCTGAATTTCATGTTACACCTGAAGGCATGTCATTGTTCCTCTGATGTGATGGACATAACTATTATGCACTTTTGTTATTTTTTTGTCATTGTCTTGGAACAACAACTGACTTTATGGAAGGCAAGGGTATATTGATATCTACTGGAAAACCCCCGGAATTTTCGTACCTTTTTGAGGGCTTTTCCTCCCCTAATCTGATCCAGAAGCGCCCCACGTCCACTGCTGGCTGGAGCTGTCTGGTCATCTGGATCCACACGCTTAAAGGCAGTACCCTTGTGGATGTCATCTATACGGCCTCTCCCCCCTCCCACTACGATAGGGGGAGGGGGCGGAGCGGCTCCAACAGCTGGTGGTGGTGGAGAGGTTGGTGTTCCACCCCCTCCAGATGGGGTTGGGGGTGGAGGAGCCGGGGCTGCCATAGGCCGGGAGAGCATGCTGGGTGGGGCCATAGAGGGGGGCGTCGGGGGCAGAGCGCGCGAGGGTGGGGGTGGGGGTGGTGCCCCACGAGATGAGGGTGGGAGAGGGGGTGCAGGACCACGGCTTGGGGGAGGTGGTGGGAGAGCAACACAGTTGCCTGGTGGGGGAGGCGGAGCAGCAGAGCCAGGAGACGGGGGCGGGGGTGGAGGGGCAGGCATTCTTGACCTCTCTTGAGGAATAGGAAAAACAAAAGAAAGCATTTACCACAGAAGATTTGAGGTCTACAAGAAAAGTTACACATGTAAGTTTCCTATTGTTATAAGCAACTTAAAGCAAGGCCTGAAAACACGTTACTATACAGGAGCACAGGTCTGCATTTATAAAAAGGGGCAGCACCATTCCAAACCCTTTGAATCATCTCACAGAATTTAGCAAACATTTTCAGAGCATCCAGTGCAATGTGAATAATAGTACACACTGATTTGAAAAAACCCAAAAACCTGCCTCACACTCCATCACTGCATTTAACAGTGAAGTGGGGTTAACTGCCATCTTAGTAAATATAAAAATTGTTAAGATTATTTTCAAGGGAAAGTAGTTTCCCTTGGTTCAGCCTTAAAGTCAATTTTGTGCTACACCATAAGCTGTCTGAAGTTGTTTGAAAACCCAGACTTTATGCATCTACTTACGAGACATTCTATGTTTAAAAGCATTTATTCCTCCATGTTCATCTACAAACTGATTGATGACTTCCACGTTTTTCTTGTCCTGGATGTCGCTTTCATTCAGACCGAGGTGTTTCAACCAGCTCAGGACATCTGGGTCCATCCCTTTATACTGGTGGTCAAGAATTCAAAGGAACTTTTAGTAAAATTTGTAATATGCACATTAGCCTTTTTGAAGTATAGCGGACACAGTAGGAGGGCACTATTTGGAAAGAGTAAACTCTTTAGTATTTTTGCTCTCTAGGTAGGGTGAGCCATCAACCTTATTTTAATGTTCACAAGGAAGTGGTGTATATACACAGGGTTACATTCAAAATGAAATCGGATCGAAAATGTTCCATTTTATATGCATTGTGTCTTTTGAGGACTGCATCAGTGTGTCAGTTTTCTTGTCTGTTTGTCTGTCGCATCGGCTGATCATTGACGAGAAAGACAGTGACAGGAATGGTCGAAATAAACGTCACCTAAACGTTTATTTAACGGTAAGAAATTTCAAAAATATAAAACAAGAAACTCAAGTTCAACTTACATCGAGGCCCTTTTCTGCAGCCCATCCAACATGCACGACATGACTAAAGAGAAAAGAAGTAATATATACATGTATATTATTATATCGGATTTGTGATTTACATTGACATTTATCCTGAAATAATCTTAAAATTTGATGGAAAATGATGGAAAACACTTATCTTGAAATGTCATGTTTTTAGTCACAGATTTAAGCATTTGAGCATGTGCACAAGCCTGTAGCGTCTTTTCATGAGCATCAGGCATAAAGTGGCAATAAGTTAAGAGGGTCTGGTTTCCATATCGACGTTAAGCTTATACGCAAGATGGGGCACTGACCATGGCGAGCCAAAATAACATTCATATAGCATTAGCAAAGTCTTAAAACAATTTAAAGACATCTCTAAATGATTAAAATTGTGGATTAAGTATTCCGACACCTACTTCGTGCCTTCGAAGATTTAAAGATATCTTTAAATAAACTCTTAATCGGTAACGGCTCCGTGAACCACAGCTTTGCACACTCGAGTCAATCATGTTGCCATCATAATGCATGATCAAATCGCCGGTGTTGCCTGTCAAGTATTGCATTTGTAATTGGTGTTGCCATTTTTTTTTATATCATAAGTCATCATCGAGGTCGTCAATAAAATAATGGCATATACAGAAGCCCATGTTACCAACGTATTAACAATAGCTCAATGCTGCGGAAATTAAAACACAATTTAGATATATCTCTAAATCATTTAGAGATATCTTTTAAAGATTTAGAGATATCTTTAAATCATTTAAAGATATCTCGGAATCTTTTAGAGATATCTTTATTATCATTTATAGATATCTTTTAATACTTTATACAGACATCGTCGATAGCACTAAATTGTTTTAAAGACTTTGCTAATGCTATATAAATGGTACTTTGTAAACCATTAATAAGGTGCTACATAATGGTTCTCATATTTCTCATGTACTTCATTTACCTGTCTCTAATAATAGACATAATTTCAAGCGCCTTAAGTACCTAATTGTTGGTAGATACGTGCGCTATATTAGACTTCGGTATTATTATTATTATTATTAGTATTAGTATTATTATTACTTAGGCTCGTCATGGCAGACAATACGCCGAACCGTCGTCAAAGTTGAACCAGGTTCAACTTTGCCGATCGTCTGGCGAGGTATAGTAGTTTATAATAATAATAATAGCTTTATTTACAGATGGTAGCCATGTCACCTGACAGATGATTTTCATCTTGCAGTTTGCGTCTGTCTTGTTTGTCGGCGACACTTCCGGATGAAATGTTTCCATATGTCTATACGTTGCAGTTTGGGTTCTATTTGCGTCTCACAGTGCATTTCTTATGCCGATATGGAACTAGGCTAAATTAATCACTCTCCCTTTCTAACCGTTGACGGGGCACTTTATGTGCACATAATCAATACATTCCATCAGTTGGTAAAGCCACTTACGTAAAATTAATGGGCGTAGAAATGTCAGCCTTGTTGAGCCTTGCCTTCTTCCCTTTGCCTTTCTTATCTTTCTTCTTACTGGTGGCGGTGTTCGTGTTGGTGGTGGTTGAGGTGGTGTTCATTGTCGGAGATGGAGGCTGAATGTTAGCTGCACAAAAGATTGAATCAAATTGCAAGGGAGTAAATTTTCCACAATCGCAGTGGTTTTCTGACTGTGGGTGGTGTTTCAAACCGACCCACGCAATATTTTCCACAATCGCAGTAGTTTTCTGGCTGTGGGGTGGCGTTTCAAACCAGCCCACACAATGACATCACACAGGTTTAGTCCGCAGTCTGAACCTCAGACAATGCAATTATTAAGGAATAATTCGTGTTGTACATCTTATTGTAATTGTACCGATGGAACTGGGTCCGCTCATACGTGCGACGCCTCATAGGTCCGACGCCTCATAAGTTCGACAAAATCGCATCCCCTAACCAAATAAAAGCTCATAAGTCTGACGCCTTATAGGTCCGACGCCTCATAAGTCCGACGCCTCGTAGGTCCGACAAATTAAACGCCTCGTTTTTCCGACGTCGGACTTATGAGGCGTCGGACCTATGAGGCGAAATAAATAAATGTTATGCCTCATAAGTCCGACGCCTCATAAGTCCGAGATTTCGGACTTATGATCTTCGGATCGAATAAGATTATACCAGCATCATGTTGACCCCTAAATAAAAGGTTTCTCGTATAAACTAAATAAACTGGAGGGGCATGTTTGGGTCGATTCGGGACTGCTGCTTCTGGAGCGCGGCGTTTTTTGTCTGAAATTGACAAGATAACTTGCATTTTACTCAATGACATAAAATGTGTTCATTATTATAAAGATATTTACTGCTTCGAGTGGTATAGTAAAACAAGCCTCCGGAGGAGATCCACTTTAGTGGAGCATTCTATTTTCCCCAGGCACTGAAGCCTCAGGATAATAGAAGGCTCCATGGATCAATGAGGGAGGCTGGTTTAAGTTACTGTGCTACGAGTTACAGCAGGAAATGTTTGTTTTATAACGCCTCACTAACAGATTCTGCTTGATCTTAAGAGACAACTGATTTATTTAATCTACATATACATTTAAATACAATTAAAATGTATTTTTATCTCAATACGAAACTAGTTGAAAATTTACTTGAACTTTTCCAAACCATCCCTCCACGAAACGTTTGAACCAGGCCCTGTAGATCTAGCAATAGACTTGTATTCTATATGCTCTAGCACGTGGGAACAATGCGCACAATGCGCAACGAGCACACCCGTATGCATTTGCTTACAGTACCGGTTGCTATGCGTATGGTACTTTGGTTGCTATGGTTTAGGTCAACTGGCCATATGTTGTGTCCTTAGGCAAGCCACTTTACCCCAACGTACCTTTCTCCACCGAGGAGTAAAAATGCGTACAAGCATCAACTGGGGAGCAACCTGGGCTGGACTGGGGAATAGAATTATTCTCAGTCTTTTCAAGCCAAGGAAACTGGAGATAAACGCCACTTGATGGGTCACATGACTCGTAACAGACTTTACCTTTATCTTATAGACCCTGTATTGACCCCGTGCACAGTGCAGAATCGCCCTCCCAAGGGATACATAATGGAGAGTTTGAGGCGACCACAGGGACAGTCTCTTAAATGCATTGCCAAAGGTACCTGGAGCTCATTTCAAGACATTAATTACTGTTGTGTGCAGATTCAGAATAGAATTAGTCATACACATGTGATCCCGTATGTGCATATACATGTCCCTCCCACTTCAGCCCTCAACAATCAGACAGCGTTGTCCTCTAGAGATGCTTCACTCACCTTCTTTACCCTGTTTACGCTGCATCTTGGCCCTTAGTTTAGCTTCGATGGCATTGCAAAAATCACCGGCTTCAGCATCATTGGCGAAGTTGAGGGCGGCCCAACATGTCTGTATACACAAGGGGCAAATGTGTACGGGAAGAAATAAAACCAAGAGAAAAAAAAGTACAAACAAAGAAAACTAGAGGTTTGTGCCTGTCACACACAGAACAAAAGGATATTCCGCATCAACCCCCCCTCTAAAAAAAATTAAATCTAAAGAGTTTTGAATGGAGCATGTTTTCCTTTTGAAATATGGTGATATTATTGAAAACCCTAAAAAAAATCCATATAAAATCACAGGATGTTTTCATTATAACTTTCTTTCTTTTTCATGTATAACACATCCCTGCTTATGTATCTGCAAAACTTCAACCCTATCTGGTTAAATTTTAACCCAATCTAGGACTTTGAAAATGCACCTCTATGATGAGGTGCATGATCCATGATGACGTCATTTTGACGGCACTTTTCAGTTCATAAAAATCGACCGAGACGTCATCATGACGTAAAATACGATTTTGCATATTAATAACATTATCTAACCTCCCAAGTTTGGAGTCATCGATTTTGATGACGTCATGATGACGTCATGATGACGTCACACATTTGTCACATTTCTTTTAAATGTGCAAACGAATTTTGAAATAATCACGCTACGTTTGTAAGTGATGGCGTTATATACAACACATCTCTTTCTGTGTACTTACAATGTAGTTCCCCAAGCCATTGAAAAATGCACTTCACTCATATGACGACGGCCTTTGTTTACGTTAAGTTTGATCAAGATTTGAGAATTCAAAATGTCACAGTCGCTTGTAAAAAAAAATCTGTGCAAAGTCTAGGGGATTTGGGAAAGAAAAATTGAAGGTAAAAAAATCGGAACAAAAACAAAGACTTTTCCATACATTTACGGAAAATCCAAAAGAATAAATAAATTGTGTTTTTAAAGTCAAAATGGTTGATTGGTTATCATTACTTATGAGAAGCCAGGGTGTTGAAGATGGTGATGTTAAGGGGGGCATAGACATTTCTAGTAAATCCATCTTTTAATGATTAATGTTTCGAGACTACTTTGGTGAAAACAGCATGTTTTCCTCATGTGGGTCATTCTGTAAATTAAGGGTCCAAATTGTGGCATTTTTCAGTCCCCTCTACCTCTGAAATTGACTTGCCATTCAAGTATAAATAAGAATGACTTTAAATATTTTAAAAATAATATTTGACGAGTTGGTACTTTGTTATTCATAATCACACCAAAATTATAAATCATAGATGCCACACGTAACAGGGACAGGAAAAACGTTGACCCAAAATTTAATAGAATGACCCATCACCTTATAGCCACGAGCACTTCCTACTGTTCAAATATTCTAAGTGTGTTTAAGTTAAGAGATATTTGTTACTTAGTAGAGCATTAATACACTCACATCTGTTTCAAAAGTGTGGAAGAAAGGCTGGCCATCTGCGACAATGTACTTGAACTGGTTGTACAATTCCTGTTCCCAAAACTTCATTCCGTTCTAAAAGAGAAATTAGAGCTATAAAACATCAGTTAATTTTTTTGTCAATCAAAGAACAAAGAACAACAACTTGTTGGTAAAAAATGAATAAAGTAACTGATTCATTTCCCGGAGTCCAACTCAGGTCGAGTCCTCATTCTTCGATTAGTCCAGCTCAGCTAAGTAAATTTGCTTGGTAAGCGGACCTATCTCCCCGGGCCAACCCGAGTCTTTACTTTAGGGCCAAGTCTGACACCTTACACGAAGACAATTGTGCCAAATTAAGGCACCTCCCTAGACGATAGACCGCAGCGACCTCAAGTTAAGGGCGCAGGTCCATTTTGGAGGAAATATTCCACCGATTGTGACTGATTGTTAACTCTCTGCTGATTGCACATTAAACATGTAACAAAGCTTGACACCTCAAAACAGAATTGCCGGTACAAGGAAATACATTTTTTTCAACAATAAATCAATAAATGCACGGTAATTGGCATCAGCAATTTGCAACAGCATCAGCAATGTACAACATCATAAGCAACGCAACAGCATAGGCTAAGCAATGTACAATAGTACAGCTAATATTCGCAGCGCATCAACCATGCAAGCTAGCATCAGCTACGTACAGCTAATTAAAGGGAACATGAAATAAAATTTTGATTGCATTTTTTTTGCTTAAATCAATAAAGGATGATGTTCTTAACAATATCTTGTGTATGGCGTTGTTTATTTTCTAAGATAAATGGGGGAAAATAATTTGTGAACATGTTTGGTCAAACTACTCCGCCCCACAAAGGGAAGCTTCATTAACATAAAACTTCGCGAGGGGTATGACGCAAGCGAAGGCAGAAACTTGCCGCGCTGCGGGGGCACCGGTGTCACATGAAAATCCGACTCCTATTAAAATCGGACCCCTATTTCCTTATTATTGGTTGATCCCTCGCACGTGACAGGTCACTCTCCCGAAACGATCCTAAAAATAGCATAGTATCGTACTCACGCGTGCGCAGTACTACCAATGAGTCCACATTTCATGGAGTCGGATATTCACGCTACACCGGCATTGCGGCGTGCATCATAATACATGTACATATACATTGCGGCACTGAAAGTTTTTCTGGTGTTTCGTTCGGAATCGAGGAGAAATAACACCCGATTTTCGGCCATGCCGACACGGTGTGTGGCTGCTGGGTGTAGCAAAACTACCAAGGATGGAGTAAGCCTTCATTTGTTTCCAGTAAATCCGAAATATCGGAGCATTTGGAGAGCCAAAGTGAAGGTAAATACCAGAGCAAAGTGGTCCGGGCCCAGTGAGTTCGCGGCCCTCTGCGCTGCACTTTGAGCCGTCGTGTTTTGATGCTGGTCTGTACAGCAACTTGGGCATGCCCCTAAAAAAACATCGAGTCAGTGTCTGAATCATTAGAACTCTGATTCGAATCGGACGAATCTGTACCATTTTCATCGGATTCGCTAAGGAAAGAAGAGGACGGTCTTCGGAACTTTTACGGTCATGACGGTCGTCGTTGTGTTCATTCGACAACGGTGGCACCGTGGCACGTCCTCGTGTACGTGTGTACTGTACATATCCCATGTAGACACATTCGTACGTGTGCATATAATGCCACGTACGGGTACGCGGCGGCTGCACACAGCACAGTAGCTTCGCTAATCCGTCTCGTACCCAGACGTCATTTACGGGCCCTGGATTTCTCTGCCTTTGTTTATGTCATGAACAGCGCCCTCATTTGGAGTTGCCGCGAAAATCAAAAAGGGGGGGTTCAATTTTGGACGGCAAATTACCACACTAAACGTACACCAGAACCAGTTCTGCTTTTAATTCACATTTAATACACATAAATGAATGTATATATAAAATAAAATACGTTATGAAAATTTTGGACAGCATGTTTCCTTTAAAGCCTTACATATCCAACCCTTAGCTATGCCAGAGTACAGATCACACAACTTAATTTTACCAACCGGGCATAAGCATTGCACAAACGAAGAGCAAACGAATTAACCTACTTCCTGTCTACGTCTGCTCGCATTCCGCAGCTCAACTATAGCGCTCAACGTATCGGGTGACGTCTGCCTGCCTTGCATACAGTACTTGTCTACGCGCCTAGGCCAACCAATGCCAAGCACGTAGCAGCTAGCTAATGGAAGCTAAGCTCCGCTCAGTCACAATGCATGTGTTGTGACTACATGCATTTGTGGTATAGCGCCCTCCATGGTTGGAAATGTAAGAGGATGTTACTTTCAGCCTGGCAAAGTTGTGTAGTTTTTTCGATTATGTGAGTACTTTTCATATAATTTATGGGGAATATACCACATATTTTGGCGACGAGAATATGGCCCACTTGCATCCACCTCCACCGTTCCTTAATTCCCCAGGAACGCCGCCTTTGCCGTGGAAACAGTGGCGTGGTTTGTTCGAAACATACATTATCGCTAGCGGGGCTGAGAAATACTCCGATGAACGCAAACGGGCTTTGCTTTTGCACTGTTTGGGACCTGAAGGTCAGCGGATTTTTGGAACTTTGCCTATACTACTTCGGCTACGAATTCGCCGTCATCCAGCTAGTACGTATGGAACCGCTACAACCCAATCTACGTACACGGACACATTTGCCCGATTACAGGCTCATTTCCAGCCGACGGTGAATGTTGTCGCCGAGCGTTACAGATTTCGGCAGCGGGCTCGATGGACGGATGAGCCTGTGGAACAATATGTCATGCCTTACGTCAACTGGCGGTGGCATGCGACTTCGGACCACTCGCTGATGAGAAGATTCGTGACCAGCTGGTGGAGAAAACATGCTCCTCAAGGATCCGTGAGAGATTGCTGCTTGAGTCCAAATTGACTTTGTCATCTGCATTGACACGGAGTCAACAAAATGGAGTCAGCTTTTCGCAAATCCAAGTCCATCTCCAACAGTGCTGCAAGCTTCGATTCTTCCCAAGCTTCGGACAGTACTGTGCATGCTACACGTCTCAAGCAAAAGCCAAGTGTTTCAAAGTCCCGTCGATATGATCGTCAGCCACGTACTTCACACGCACAGGGACATGGTAAGCCCAATACCCCTACTACTTCTACACAACGCACAACTACAGTACAATGCTATCGTTGTGGAAGTCCAAGCCACAAAGCGAACTTTCCTAACTGTAAAGCTAAGAATGTGGAGTGTTCCAAATGCAACAAAATGGGGCACTTTGCACGTGTGTGTAAAGTCTTCAGGACAAGTTAGACAACTAGGTTTTGAGGATGATAATAGTGACACTGAACTACATGTACTTACCGTGAACAGTGTAGGTACACCTCAGTCGGCCAGCATCACATGTACACTCACTTTGGGTCGCGACATCAAGGTGCTAATGATTATCTATACTGGTTCACCAGTTTCCATCCTGCCACTTGTCACATTCGACAAATACTTCCTTCGCGAGGCTCTACTACCCCCTCGGGCAAAGCTCACAACCTACTCCCATCAGCCAATAGCCATCAAGGGATGTTTCCGCACTTCAGTCTGCCTTGGTGACAGTCATCATGTCCCAGCAGAATTTTACGTCGCAGAATCTGGAGATCCGATTTTTGGGCTGGACATTATCCGCAGCCTTTCGCTTACACTCAAGCAAGATAAGGTAGTGCACGTACCAGTTCACAAGGTGTCGTCTGCACCTGCAACTACGCCTACACATACGCCTACACCTACAGCTACACCTGCAACTACAATGTACATGTACACCTACACCTACCAGCAAACCTTATGCCTATAGTAGAACAGTACGCTCAATCCATTCGCGCTTTGTTCCCTGACTTACTGAAGGGAAAGTGGGTTTGGCTCGCGGGTTTGTCCATCGCGTCAAGACGCGACCCGACGTTACATCGTCTCAACAGAGGTTGAGGCGACTACCCTTCGCAGTTCGCGATCAAGTCAAAGCAGAACTACAGCGGTTGGAAAGTGAGGACATAATCGAGCGAATTGTGTCTTACAAAAATCAGGCGCAATTCGGTTGTGTGTGGACTTGCGGCAAGTCAACCAGGCAGTCGTCATCGACAAATTCCCACTGCCCGACATACAGGAATTTTTCTCCGAACTTCGGGGTGCTACGGTATTCACTACCCTCGACCTTAACTCTGCCTACCACCAGCTTCTGCTTGCAGAGGAATCGCGTGATTTGACTGCATTTATTACTCCGGAGGGACTTTTCCGGTTCAAGCGAGTTTGCTTTGGACTTGCATCGGCATCTGCCGCCTTTCAGAAACTCATGAGCACAGTTTTGGCTGGACTACCAGGGGTTCAGTGTTACCTGGATGATGTCGTTTGCTACGGTCGTGACCAGGCAGAACACGACAAGAACCTCACTGCAGTACTCCAACGTCTACAGGACCTGACACATACAACAAGTGCCAGTTCAACGTTGCTTCACTACGATTTCTCGGACATGTCGTGTCAGGTAACGGATTATACAGCCTGAACCTTCCCACGTTGAGGCAATTCTACACGCGCCATGCCCCACTGACGTCACTACACTACGCTCATTCTTGGGGTTAGCATCGTACTATGCTCGGTTCGTACCAAACTACTCCACAGTTATCGAGCCGTTACGCGCACTCACTCGAAAAGATGTGCCATTCTCCTGGACGCCGGATGTGCAACACAGCTTTCACACGGTGAAAGAACTCATCGCTAACTGTGTCACACTACGCTTCTTCGATCCTGATTTGCCAGTGATCGTGTCTACTGACGCCTCTGCAGCTTACGGCCTTGGGGCCGTACTACTTCAGGTGATGAAAGGAAACTCTGAATCACCTATCGCGTTCGCATCACGAACACTCACCACAGCTGAACGAAACTACTCTGTTGGTGAAAAAGAGGCCTTGGCCTGTGTTTGGGCCTGTGAGAAGTGGTTCCAGTATCTATTGGCCGCCACTTCACTCTGCGTACTGATCATCAGTCACTTACTACTCTCCTATCTACATGCGGAACAGGACGTCAGTCCATGAGAATCACTCGTTGGGCTGCTCGCTTGCTACGATTTGATTACACTGTAGAGTACCAGCCAGGTGTTCACAACAAAGTAACCGACGCACTTTCGCGCCTTCCCCTACATACTACCGTCCCAGTTCAAGATGATGACGAGAAAGTCATCATACAGTGAACAAAACCGACCTGCAACAAGCGGTTTCAGCAGATCCTACCCTCCAGCGAGTAATTTATTTCGTATGTCATCAATGGCTGGCCTAACAAAAAAAGCTATTGATGGATTACTTCAGCCGTACTCGATGATTCGCGATGAACTGTCAGTTGCAGAGAACTGTCTCATGCGCGGCGATCGTTTCGTGATGCCAGAGAGTCTGCAGAACAACCTCATTTCACTTGCTCACGAGGCGCACCAAGGGAATCGCAACTTGTAAACAACGCCTCCGTGACTGTTACTGGTGGCCTTGCATGGATCGCATAGTTGTAGAGACCATACGCAATTGCTTCACCTACCAATCCAATGACGAAACTGCCCGAACTCGGACTGCTCCACTCCAACTTGTGCCGTTGCCAGAGGGACCTGGGGGGGGGGGGGGGGGGGGGCTCATGCCATATTGTCAATGGGGAGCGCCAATGAAATCCTAAAACCATTCACACTATATTAACTAATGCACCCTTGTCACGGCTATTTCTTCTTTAGGGGGAGACCGTTCGCATGCCATATTGTCAATGGGGAGCGCCAATGAAATCCTAAAATCATTCACACTATATTAACTAATGCACCCTTGTCACAGCTATTTCTTCTTTAGGGGGAGACCGTTCGCATGTACATCACAATCCTTCTTTTTGCTAATGCAATTTTTTTTTTGCGGAATTTAATTTTTTTTTTTGGGGGGGGGCTAGACAAAAATTTTTGGGGGATACAGCCCCCCTAGCCCCCCCCAGAACCGCGCCTGAACTACTCACTGCCTATCGTTCAACGCCACACCAGACAACAGGGAAGTCACCATCCGAACTACTGCACAATCGGAAGCTGATCACGCGTATGAACATTCGCCACGATAAACTACCGCATCAGGATGATGCTAAACTTCGCAGTCGTGTTGCACAGAGACATGAAAAATCTCGCAACTACACTGACTCAAAGCGTGGTGCCGTAAATCCAAAGTTCAAACCAGAAGACTTTGTTCGCGTGAAACGACCAAACAATACAGGGGACAACCAAATTCTGTACTCCACAGAAGATTGTCAACACTAAGGGACCATTTACTTATGTGTTAGAGGACGGAAGAGTCTGGAACGCTTCAAAACTAAGTCTATGCCCTGTAGAATTTATGGCACAGGGTTCAAGCTCAAATGGCATTCAAAATTCCACAGCAGAGAACAAGCCTGTGGCCGGGGATGGTCAAGTTCGACCCTCGAAATCCCCCAGTGTGGTCAAAAGATTATGACATGTAGCCCAGACCCTTTCATACATATGTACCATCAGTCAAGCAGTTAAATGACTAAATCCAGGATAATATGGACTCATGAAATTGGGACAGATAAATCTTATCGGACACTAGATTCACCATATTATTCACTAGGGAACTGTGAACTTTTGCTAAGTTACTTTGGGTTTTGAGAAGAATTAAGGCTTGCAAGTTGAAAACACAAAATTCACAGTTTGTTGCTCATTTTACTTAATACAGTTGTAACTCTAGGTCTTTCTTAAAGAGGAGGGGAGATGTTGTGTCTACATGCATTTGTGGTATAGCGCCCTCCATGGTTGGAAATGTAAACAGATGTTGCGTGGAACGTGAAGGAATACAAATTGTACGTTACTTTCAGTTTGGTATGGTTTTGTCGGTTTTTTTTCCGATTATGTGAGTACGTCTCTTACAATTTACGGGGAATATACCACAGCATGCAATGAAAATACATTAAGAATAAGCTGGCTCTAAGTCCTTTCACGTTTCGCCACATGCACAGTGTAAGCATTTTTTCTTCATAACCCTCAAATACCAGTTATGATCGGATGCGTCTTTTCTAACAAAAGAGAAGATATAACGACTGGACTAGACTTACCACAATATCGTAGACTCTGATGAAGTATGAGCGTACGCTGTTGTCCTTGACAAAGCATGCCACACCACAGCATCTCTTGGTCCAGGAGTTGGGAGGCTGGGCCAAAAACACCTGCACTACAGCTGTTGCCAAAGTCTATGTTTCATTAAAAAAAATGAAAGGGACAAAATACTTTTTAAATTAGGTTAACTCAAACAATAACCGTTAGTGGCATCAACTATGTGCTTTTATCTGTGCACGTTGCGTCGCATAATAAACCCCATGTTGGTGAACAAAAGCTCTGATTTCCCAAACGATTGTCGGTATAGGGAAGAAAATTTTAATTTTAGGAAAAACTAAGAAACAAATAAAAAGTCACGCACAGATCTTGAAAAGACGAATACAAAAACCCAGTTGTTTACTTCTGACGCGGCGGACATTTTGTGGCATACGCATACGTATTTCCAGCCGTACGCCCGTTTTCTCCTTCTTGCAGGTACATACCACCGTCCTTCGTGTGAACACAGCACGTCCGCAGAACGTCCGCAGCACACGATGCACTGGCGGAACATGTGCGACTGGAATCACGATTTTTTAGAGTCAATATTTGGATCCCCAAAATTTGTTTTCGAAAGAATAAAAGACGATGGTTGTGTGGACGTTTATATTCTACATTTAAATGATAATTGCAAATAATAGTTTGGTAGCCCAATTAGGCCCTATCCAGGGCGTATATAGTGTCACAGGGGTTCAGCCCAGTAGGCCTATGAATTCCCATATAGACACCAGTGATAAATGCCAATACTTCAAAATTCTTTTTAAAATACTCTGAACTCTCACAGGTGTTCGGGCTGTACAGAAAATGATGATCAACATGTCACCTTTCATTTTCTTTTATTTTTTTTGTGGGTTGACGGATGACTTTTCGAGAAATTCTCACCCAAAGAAGACGACCCCTAAAACGAGTGATGTTTCCCAAAGTGGAAAAGTAGCCATCTTGAAAAGGATCGGATCCCTCCACATCGTGGCTAAATAGCGCCACTTTAATTTTGGACCCAATTCCACCCAAAATGCTTGGAATTGGAAGCCTTAAGTCCAGGCGAGAGGAGCATTGCAATGTCTTTTTAATTTCCAATTCCATGGATCTGAGAACTCTCTAATAATATACAGGGTGTTTCAAAAAAAGGAAACCCAACTTCAAAGAATGAGTATGGACAGACGATACGTTTACTGGCTATAAAACTGGTATCATCTGAAAAGCGTAATCTCTATGCTTTTCAATGATACTGTTTAGGTTTTCTGAGTCATGCATCAGTGAGCTCCATTGTCTTGAAAACTGGATGCAAAAATGCAGTTGGTTCACTTTCACAAAAAAAAAACCACTGGGCACGATGTGCCTATTGTTACGAACATGTCTGTGAAATGGCTTGAATGTCGGGAACATGGCATATTGTTTTGAACGTGGCTTGGTCAAAATGAGAAATTCATGACAAGCAATAAAATCCAGTTTTGAAACCAACCCGACTTGTCTGTTGGTTTCATGTTATGCACTCATGTCTTCTTCTTGAATACTTATTCTAATGCACACCATGCCTGTTGTATTAGACATGAAAGTGAACCAACTGCAATTTTGCATCAAAATCTTATGACAGTGGCGCTAGTGATGCATGACCCTGGAAATGTAAACAAGGTATCATTGATTACGCTTTCAGATGATAACAGTTTTATAGTCAGTAAACATTCAGTCTGTCCATACTGGTTCTTCAAAGTCGGGTTTCCTTTTAAATGAAACACCCTGTAGAATAATTTGAGTGTTTATTAAACTTGTATTCGTGAGCTCGGCGGACGGATTTTTTGGGCTGCATGTTTACTGGGCGGTAACAACAGCTGGTAATTCTCACGCGATTTTTAACATCGTTTGCAATAAATTCATAACTCACGGCTTGTACACCAAATCTAAAATGTTTAACCTTCCTATTTCATATTCATTCTCATCCATACTATAGGTCAAACTGTGCTGACATTTTTTAATCCCCAGCTGCAGCCTATCAATATCCATATAATTATTTCTATCAATGTGACCTTTTCATATTTCTAATAGAAAAGTGAGCGAGAAAGACTACCTATACTACAAAAATGGACAATTCAAATACGTTCAATCTGTTTTTCTGCTATTCTAATACTAGAATACCAGATGTGAACCGTTTTCTGCCTCTTTTCTCCCTCTGTGTGGAGATTGCTATGAATTGATGTGACTCGCGCACGGAACCGCAAAACACCGTATTTTCGTCCAAAGTAGGCCCCTACTGCTCACATTATGAAAAAAACTTAAATAAAACAAAAAGACTTGAAAGTGACCACAAAAATAATTTTAGAATTGACAATCATTCGCAAAACGGTCATTTTTAAATAGTAAAAATGGTGTCCTAAACTGCACCTCTACCACAGAAACGCATTTTTGATCAGTTAAAAATGGGGCGAATCGACCGGCAGCCGCTCGTTACTGTTGAGTTGACAGATCATTTTCTCCTTCCCCTTTACCTCCTGAAAATATCGGTCACTTTACCCTTTAAATTTCCATTATCAACTAAAACAGAACTCACCAAACACCCGCTTCCAAGAAGGTTAACTACTTGGTCATTTTCAGATTTGCTGAGTAGTTTCGAAGGGACATTTACGTCCGCTGGCTTACTTCGTTGCCCCGGAGGATTCGCCATTTTTTTTGAGGAACACTCCCGCACAATATCAGCAGTTACTATAGTAGGTGGAGTCATGTTGACCGAGTTCAAAGTGCTAGACGTGTACAAAGCGAACCAGACAATGTGGAAATCATAGAATTCAGTGTGGAGACGGGGGATTTATCAGTTGTGGACATGTACATAACATTATGTCGTACATTATTCCATTCGTCGTACGCTTGCGCAAGCATTTTGCCGCGATTATTTTTAGATTCTTAAAAATTCCGGTTTTCAAAGTCCAACTTTGATAATTTCGACAAGTACTGTAAACAAAAAAAAAATGAGGAAAAAATGACAAAATAATACCAAATAATTGCCAGGATTGTTAGTCAAGCTGGAGAAATTCATATTATTTCACGTCTGAAAATAGTCCGAGTCTGATGGTTACTCGGAGTCATAACTAGTTCTGCAAATCACGTTTTTAAACATTCTGGTCATGATCTGGCGATATTAGTCGCCAGATCCAACCTCGTTCCCGTGGGTACGATCTATTGCTGTACCATGTTGGTTCCCACCATGCCTTGCGCAATCGTAGCCCCTGGTGTTTTTTTATTTAAATATCCCACGATTTAGTAGATTTAGGCCTTAAAGAACTACAGTTGACGTGGTTAACGTGCGACGCATTGTTTTCAATTTTGAAGAGTCAAATTCAGAATAACTCCTTTCAAAGATTACTTATGAGATTTCGATGTCGCGTTACTAGACTCTATGTATACAAGTATTTGTGGCAAATAACGATGCTTCCAGAATTTCCATATTGTTCGGGCATCGCGCGGTCTTTTCATATAGAGATCATTTGAACCCACACGTGTGTACGTGACGTAACGGATAACGCAAGCGCTTATATAAGGCTGCAGTCATAGACATAATGTCTAGGGGTGCAGCCTTCAAAACACGCCCGCAGTATACTTTAAATTGTCAATCAGCGTCGTTTTCATATTCTACACAGCTACTTACTTGACAACCTTGAAGGGGCAGCGAAAGGTGTGCGACTGTATTATACCTGCCGGAGATCGAGGCACACCAGTCAAAATCCTCTAGCACCTAATCGTTATACATGTATTCCGATGGGGGTGGGGGAGGGGTTGTCTATATGCGAGGACGCAGCGAGGAGGCGAGGGAGGTCAGTTCAAGACTTCTCACTATACATCTAAGTTCTTGCGATGAGTGGCCTTTCTTGAAAGGCACTTCCGGTTTCGACCGGAAGGAAGGGTCACGTGATTTTGCACTTAATACCAAAAATTACGACCCTGCAATATTATATCGATTGCCAAAAAAAAAAATCAAATCTGTTGCAGTTGATTTTATATTGATTTTCAAAGATTAAATCTAAAAATGTTTGATTGCTTGTAATAATATGATACTTGATGACGTCATTGTGAGTCATTACCAGAAACCTCAAGAGCTATATTTACTGTGCTGTATACAGCCAAATCTTCATTATTATCTATCACGGTATATTTTCTAGCAATTTTTTAAGGTTTAAAGGTCTTTTTATTGTAACTTCCGGTCTGATGACGTAATCATTTTTTTTTTTCGTGCACAGGTGTTGTCTGCATTATGGTCATCATATACATTAATTTTGAAGCGATTACCGCAAACTTCGCAACAGACTTCAAGTGAAAATGCGTTTTTGACGTTTTTTAACCTGCCGCTAGAGGGCGCTCCAACACTTCATGGCATCACCCATTATTTTTTTGAAAGGTCAATCCAGGCAGACACTTAAATCGTTAAAAGCAAGTTCATATCTTTTTCCACTTTTAAATTATTGGGCACTTCCGGTTTCGACCGGAAGGAAGGGCCACGTGATTTTACGCGCACAGGATAAAATAAAGATCATGTATTACCATGTCGATTCCATGCAAATTTCAGGTTCCGGTCTCTCACGGTTGATTTATATGGAATTTCAAAGATTAAATAAATAAATAAAGATTAAACTTTCAAGTGACGTCACGTGACCCATGATGACGTCATGATGACGTAATTGCAAAAAACACATCTGCGTGGATTGGGCATTCATGTATTGACAAATGAAGTTCATGTATGTTTCCATTTTTCCAAACAGTTCTGGAGAAGGATTTGCTGAGAATATGCTGAGAAGAAAAAAAAAAGTAAATTCTTACAAAACCAATAGGTGTTGGGCTCAAGTCTCGACACCTAAAAATAATAGTAAACTCATAGAATAACAGTAGGTTTTGGACTCATAGCCCAAAACCTAATAAACTGCTACAGATGTGATTTTGTTTTTATGACAATCGATACAATATTGCAGGGTCTTCATTTTTGGTATCAAGTGCAAAATCACGTGACCCTTCCTTCCGATCGAAACCGGAAGTGCCTTATAATTTGAAATCGATGTGAACTTGCTTTCAACGATGTGGTTTTCTGCCTAGGCTGTACTTTAAAAAAATATAACAGGTGACGTCATAAAATGCATTTTGAGTTGAGGTGCATGTTTGGAAAGTTTGCGATAATCCATGGCCCAACACGCGCACAAACCTAATGTCGCCCTGAAAACAGCGGTGTTATAACATTGATTGCATGCGGCACATACAATGTTCATGTGTATTGTATTGTGCATGTACAAGGGAATGGGTGTTTCCCCACCACTGACATTGCGCATGTGCTATATTGTGCATTAGGCCTACCTGTCAATGGGAATTTCCCACCACTGGAAGTGTATGCTCGTCCAAAGAGGGCAGTACATAACTCTAACGGGAGTTTGAATGAAGTTGGCAGCACTCCATGGTTTTACATAGTACTTTAGTTCTAACGGGTGTTTGAATGAAGTGGGCAGCACTTCACGATTTTACATAGTACTGTAGTTCTAACGG